TAAAATACTTGCATTTATTGCGCACTATTGGACAACTGCCAAAGTTGCTATAGAATATCAGTACTGTATTGCTATAGAACTGTCACACACTAAGTAGACATAACATCTATTAGTAATAATGAGAGCCTATTTATAAGATAGAAGAAAACGCACTGAGTGACAATCCTGAATATACTATTTACAACGAGATCGAGTAAATGTAAAAATACTGTCAACAGACGTTGGTTGAACACCTACGTCACGATTATACCTACTAGGAGTCTGATCATGACAACGGTGACAATATATAATATAATTTGAAAAAAATTATAAAACTAAATATTTTTTATATACAAAAATTTATTAGATATTTTAATATTATTAAACTTGATTTTATTTGATATTAATTAATAAAATAATTAAAAGCAAATTTTTTAAAAAATATTATTTCTTGAAATTTTGATTATACTATATATAGTATAGTATAAAAAGTATTTTAATTATAAAATTACTAAGTATAAAAACCAGTTAACAAAAAATTTTATTTTTTGAAAAAAATTTCTATAAAATTATAAAAAAATATTTAATTATATAAAACTTTTAATACATAATTATATGTATTTAAAAAATTATTAAAAAATATTTAAAAGTATAATTATATATTGAATTAGTAAATAATTATTATCAAAAAGTGTTATAATATACAGTCAAATCTTTTTATAGTCATCACACTCAGGAAAACAAAATTTGATGACTATAGAGAGATTTTTTTACTATATTTATATGTGAATGAGAAAGTAAAATAGATGACTATAGAAGGGTATGATTATAAACAGATATGACTATAAAGAAATTTGACTATAGTACAATATACTATCAGTAGTACAAGTAATTCAATCTATTAATTTTATTAAAAGAATTTTATTATTAAAGAAGTTATTATAAAACTTGATTGATTAAAATATATATTTTTTTATAAATATTGTAATTATCAAATATTAAATTACCAATTAAATTTAGAATAAAATAATCATTAAAATAATTATTTATATATATTTAAATAATTATTTGAATAATTATTTGTATATATCTAAATAATCATTTGAATGATCATTAACTAATTGATTAATTATTTAATTGATTAATTATTTAATAAAATTTTAATAATAAAATTGTTCAATAAAAATATTATCCAATAAAATAAAATAAAAAAATATAATTATTCAATAACAATTTGATAATAAAATCCCACTTATAACTCAAAATAGATTCTAAAACTAATGATATAATTTAGAAAAATAACTGTAACTAATTTAAATTATAATTATAATTATATTTTTTTAAAATAATTTAGAGATTTATTTTTACTTATAATATTATAAAATATAATAATTCAAAGTGAATGTAATGAAATCACATTATTAATACTTAAAATACTAATAGAATTTATAATTTAATAATAATAAAACTCTTGAATACAAAAACTTGTTTTTAGAATCAAATATGAAATTATTGTCATATTAGTTATTTGATTTATTCTTATAAATTACTTGTATATAATTATGTTTATGATTTTACCAGAAAAGACAAGTTTTTGAAATTACTGGTAATTCAAATTTAAAATAGTTAAACAAAATCATAATTAATGATTTTGATAAGAAAAGAGATCATACAATATTTGAGTTCAGGAATCTCCAAGTTAATAAATAAAATTTATAATGATTGAATTCCAAATAAAAATTATTGATATTCGATATTGCAAAACAGTAATGCTGACAGAATTGGTCATTTTCTTTTAAACTTACGTTATATTAGTCGTGAAAAAGAAAATGTAATCAGTCATTAAATAAATGCTCTTGATATAATTCACAGGCTCACTATAGACTTTTATTTAATTACAATTGTCCGTGTTGATGTGTTAGGTTGCGACACGATGCGTGTCCTCCCTTTCGTAACATCCTTCAGATCAACGAAACATCGAAGTCCCAAATACAACAACAAAACAAAGAAACAGGTCAAACTAAACTATAAAGAAAATATTTTTTACAAAAAGTATCCTTCGCGTCTCGTTTTATAAATGTCTACGATAGCGATTTCAATGTACCCTCGATCCACCGCTCGATATCCTTCGACCCATTAATGTCTATATCACTAGTCGCATACTGTCCCTTTCCATCCAGTAACAGCACTTTTTCGTGGAATTGCAGCAAGTTCTTGTTATGCGATACAGTGATACAGGTGATGCCGTATTCTTTGCATGTTTCGAAAAATAGTGTTTCGGTGTTTGAGTCTAGAGCGCTGCTTGCTTCATCAATTGCTGTGTCAAAATAATGATATTACAAAAAAAAGCGATGCGAGTGTTTAATAATAATAGTATATAAAATAAATATTAAAAATGATAATGATGATCATGATCATGATAAATACCTGCGAAGACGGGCTTCCAGAAAAACAATCTAGCGAATGCCAGTTTTTGCTGTTCCCCAGGAGACAGCATTTTCTCCCAGTCTTGTCCATACTTTATATCAAAATTACGGACGATGCTTTCAATATGTGATAATTTAACAAGTGATAATAGCTCTCGAATTCCTTCGTCAGTGACTGATAATAATAATTGATTGACATAATATTGGTAACTTGCACAAAAGAACAATAGCTGAATATCAAATTAAAAAAAGACAATATACTTGTAATTTTTTTATCAGAACTAGTCATCGGGTAGATTATCTGCTCCCGTAATGATCCAAAAACCAAATACGGCGTCTGCGGTAAATACATCAAAACCTTTTGTTTATTATTTGCTTGTGGCAATATGACCCGTCCTCGTGTGGCTGGCCAGAGGCCACTCATCACTCTCAGAATTGATGTCTTGCCGCTTCCGTTCGGTCCAATAATCATAACATTTTTTTCTTGCTCGATCATGAATTTGAGGTCGGTGAGTAGTGATGTACCAGTGGGAGAGCAAATTGTCACATTTTCAAACTCTATTACCAATTCTGCGCTAATAAATGATTTGCCAACAAACCAATTTAATCGAGAGTTAAAAAGGTAAATCACGGGATTGTAATATTACGACTAACCTTAATTGATGATGTTGTTGTTGTTGCTGCTCATCAAACGGAAAATCAATATTTACATTATCCAATTCATTATTAATATCAGAGATCGCCTCCATCAGTTGCCCGATACGCGCCGTGTAACCTGCCAAATCTGATACTTTGCTTGATTGTTGTACAATTAGGGTAAATCTAAATATGAGGTATAATGACAGGAACGCGTTCTATAAAATATTCGAACGTGTACGTTTTTATGTGTTCGTGTTTGTATTTTGTGTAATTGATTGACATGACCAATTATGGAAACAAAGAGAAACGTGTGATCGTAATGTTAATAAAAATATGACGAATAGCTTGTCCTATGAGAAAACTAAAGCAAATAAAGTATATAATTAACATACCAAACTTATTAACCTACTAAGTTCATCTGTCCCAATCCCTTCGTATTTTTGACTGAATATGGGAATGGCAATGATCAGGTAACTCATGACCGATCCAAAATAAGCGAACGAGTCGGTGATAACTTTTCGAGAAAAATAAATTCACGCGCAAAATTATAGAAAAGTAAAAAAAAAAAAACGAAAAATTATTAGTGCATATTTTTTATACATTATCATCGGTGCTAATATTTGATCTAAATCTGGAATAGAAAAAAGGATTCAGATGAAGAAAAACTTATAATAAAAACATTCTATTGTACCTTGTAATGATAATTCTTTATCAATTATCTGTCTTTGGTAATATAGGACAGATTGTAGATGGGCATCTAGACTTTTTACTTCTGCCCGTTCACCCCAGCTAAATGCGATAGATTCGGCAAACTGGCGTATTCGTACATGTAAATATCTAACATAAAACATTCAACATATAAATTAAATGATATACAATAAACAAATAATGGATTCGACAGATCCCCTGCTCACCTAAGATTCCCCTCGTGGTACTCTTTCATAAATACCAAATTCACAATAGGCACAATGAAAAATCGACTAATAATGGTACCAAAAAGAAAGTATGTGTAAATCAACAGGGGTCCCAAGAATCCAGAAACTGACCAGCATAGGTATGTATAGTAGGCGATAAGAATAGGTGAAATTATAATGTCTTCGCAGATTAGTCGTAGAGTTTCTGCGAATTTATCGATATCTTGAGTTATTCGCTGATCTCTATTATATACGCATGTGTGAATTGAATTAAAGTGTTAATAATAAATAGTTGAATTAATAAGTTCAAATTTAATTACTTACGGATTATCAATATTTGTTAGGTTTGTCAATAGACGATAAAATGTATTTGGCTGTACATATCGTCGTTGTATATGTCTAGTCAATATTCTTCTTATTGTTAATGCAAAAAGTCCACCCATAAATTTAAGCAAACTTCTTCCCTGTAATTGTTTGTCATCAAAAATTTTGTTATTTAAAAGATACGATTAATCAAAAAATTAAGGCAATTGGTCATGAGATAACATATACCAAAGCAGCGCTCAGCACAATAGTAATAGATAATGCAACAATCGATTTAAAGCTGTACCAGTCCTGCCCTACTAGTGTCTTGTAAAACCGACTTGGCAGAGTACCAGCATAATATACCGTGACTTGATTGACACAACTTATCGCTACAAAAATCAAGAAAACCCATAAAATGTTTCCTTCAGGATTTGATGGTGAACATAGTAACCGAGTGATATTGAAAAAGCGACGAACGAATAGGCGGTCAAAGGAGCTTTGGTGCTTTAGTTTTTGATGATGTCTTTCGGCCACGTCGAGTGGAATTGGCATGGACAGGGACCTGAGCGCGTGACATGTGTATTTTTTAAGAATAGAAATTATTTGATTATCTACTTTTATACAGATACGAAATGACGCGTAATGAAAACAAATAAAGGCAACAATATATTACTATGCATACCCAAATAAATTATCTTCGTCCTTAAAGAGAGAAATTTCAGTATCGTCTTCCACAGCTAAAGGCTGGTATGCATAGTTCCCACTCATTATTATTATTACTATTACTATGAAGGAAAATGGTTATTTATTTATTTGTTGGGAACAATGTGAGTGGGAATAATGGGGATGATGATGATGGCTTGTAGAAATATCAATTTTTGTTGTAGGTGTGGTGGATCGATCAATTGCTTATATAGTTTTAGGTATAGCATTGTTGAATATAATATATAATAACTGATATATTGTATTGTATTGTATAGTATTGTGTTGTTATGTTGATGATCTTGAAGCCATATATAGTTTGGTTTAGACTATGCGTATAAAATAAAAAGCCAATCGTTGATTTTATTGATTATAGTTTAACGTTTAGTTCGTTAGTTCTTATCTTTCCAAAAAAAAATTTTCTGCATTGTGTTTCGTATTACAAGATCATCCTTACACAGAAAGCCAAGAGTGCGTATGCGACTCATGACAGCAGTAAGATTTGAAATAACCTCGTCAAATTAAAAAGTTCTTTGACATTTACTAATTTAGGTGATATTTGTTTTTTAACCAAATTTTTTTACCGGCATTGTTACATTATTACTATTGTAAATTGTTTTCTGTTGCTATTGCTGCTATTTTTTCTTCTAAAGACGTTCTCTTCGGACACGATCCAAGTTCAGAGTATACTTCCATATTTCCGTCGTCAACTCCGTTTCTCCAAAACTTAGCGCAGTCAATCTATAAATAGGCATCAATAATAGGATAAAAAGAAAAATTAAAGTTTTCGAAAGTTCCCAACAAAAAAAATAATCAAGCTCTGTTTGCCGCTTATTGCGTCAAAAAGTCACATAAAGGAATACGACAGATAAATGAAAATGATATTGAATGACAATGCATTTTAATCATAAACGTATAATAATGGCAATTACGGTGAATGAGTGGTTAAGAAACACATGGACACACGGACAAAACAAACCTTGCAAGATTCATTTGCAGGAACAAGTCGTCTGGAGTCATTAATGACTGGCCATTTTTCGCGGCCGTTTGTCGTTGTTTAACAAATTCATTTTGCACAAACTGTATTTTTTTGTAAATGTGTATGTATTTGGAATTAATCAGTGACCAAAGAAAGAAATGTAAATGGACATAAAAGTAAATTAATATATTAATGCCATATTAATGCCATAATACAATCGTCATCGTACATAATACATACCTCAGAAACAGACTCGGAGATCGAGTAATCCAAGTACCGCAATATACTAATGTACTTTTGGTACTCTGTTAATGTTTCCTCAGAGAGTGAGGGCATTGTTTCTTGGGTGGCCAAAGGCCTTAAAGGAATGACACAATCAACCTAAAAAGTGAAAAAAGAGGGATTAGTCTCTTTGACTTTATATAATAGCACAAATAAATAAAGAAAATTAAATTGGTTAAGGATACTAAAGAATTCCCGAATAGATAGATACCGGGAAAAAGGATTTAGCAGTTGAGAAGATTATTAGTCCAATATCGATATTGAATTGGAAATTGTTGAATGGGAACACGTAATTTAACTTTTGAGTATTTAGGATATCAGTTAATGTCTGCATATTACGAACGCCTATAAAGGATGCAAAGTGACCAATCATCATTATCTAATGTAAAAGTGGTCAAATTGGATAGGGGCCAAAACAAAAGATTCGAATTTACCAGTATCACCCAACGTGCCTTCCTTCAACACCGTCTCATCAACTAAGAAAAAAGTCCCATCGCTCACTTGAAACACACCCGAGTCCAAAACACCATCACATCTTGGATAGAAAAACACATTATTAAGCGTGGAAAGTGTCAATGGTAGATCATGGTACTTTGTCAGAACTGACGATAATATCGCGGCCACATTTCGCGTGAATGGATTAGTGTGCGATAAAGGCAATGATGATGAGGATACGCTTTTGTCGTCTATTTGTGAAGATGGAGGAATATTTGTGATGTTTATTCCGAATTTTCCGAGTGTTAGGCCGTCTCGACGATTGTATCTGTGATGATTGATAAGATTTTTTTATTATTCTTATTATGGTAAATTCTTTTATTGACTAATTGTTCTTACATTCTGGAAAGGAGTTGTAATAAAACAAATTCAGCTACGAGTAAATCTCCGGCGAATGCTGACGCGATATACTGAATCAATGAGTTTCTTGTGTCTCTTGCAGTATTTTGGACTTCCAATGTGGCTAATCAGGAAATTTATTATAATCATTAGTAAGGATATGAGATTCGAGTAAAAAAGCATTAGAATAAATAAATAATGAAAAGAAAAATCACAAACTATTCTTCAAGTTCACTTCTGAAATCAACGGATTACTCGACGAATGCAATTTTCTATAAAAGATTGCGTGAAGACGAGGAACTTTTAAAAGTGAGCTCGGGTCAATGAAATCATTTGACGGATTGAATTCGTCATTATTGTTGCCTGATTCCCTTCTTTATAACATTAATAAAATATAATGTGCAATCATTATTTAACTAATTAAATATTAATCTTGGATGTTAATTAGCATAAAAACAAAGATTCATTATTAATGTAATTCATAGTCCCAGCATACCGTGTAAAATGTTCCAATACACCGATTATTTCCATGACGTCGCCTACTTTGAGCGAATCATTTTTTTCATAAACCTAATAATAAATATATAAGAAATTGATAGTTAACGTTAAAAAGAAAGAGTAAGATTCATTACCTTCACAATAGCAGAAACATGACTTTCATTTGGGAAAGGAAACTTTGAAGCCACATAGTTTTTTTCAAGTTGACGACGATTATGATTTTCTAGATGATGTTGCTCATCATCAAAGAGATTTAGCTTTGTTGCTAGTCGATCAAGATCTTCAAATATAGAATAAAATTGCCAATTTTGAATTTCATTTAGAACAAAAAAGGAAAATACTTCATTAGTAGGAGCCATACCTTCAATACTATCATCATCGTTTGATCTTTTCTTGATGACATTACTGTTATTTTCTTTATAAGCGTAAATAAAAAAAATCAAGAGACGCATTAAGAAAACAATAAATTCCAAATTAAAAAACAATAATTGTTTTCTTTTTATATAAATAAACATCATAAATAATCAAGGATATTTTTTTTGCCCAATTTGTTTCACCCGGTACAGACACACAGTAGTATAGGTACCGTTCATCGAGGACAGTTGTTGGTGAATCAAGGAGATTAGAACTGAAGCTATTAACATTATTATTAGTATGTGATCCCTCCTCCTTTTTTCCAAAAAAAGATCTAAATCAGTTATTATTATAGATTTCTTGCGGAAATGGAAACAAGAAACAAATTACAAGAAAATTCAAAATCGGATTTTACTTGAAGAAAATCGTCACTGTATTTATGAAAATTCCATTGCTTTTTAGAATTGATTGATTGGTTCAATTAAATATACATGTAAATAATCAAAAAACTAGATTGTAAGCTAGAAAATTGTTATTCATCAAATTAACTTACCTTGACACCACTCGAATCAAACGTCTCAAACACGCTCAAATACATTTCGTGTCCTAGTCCCGTATTCTGAATCATACATCGAAACCGGACTAAAGTATTCGAAGGAATATCGTCGGTGCAAATATCATTTATTGATGGAATCTGATTCAAAAATAAAAATAAATCAATGGGTAAAGAACTAATTCTAAATACAAATTTTTGGTAGCTGCAGAATAGCAGACACCTCAAATAAAAGGTAACAAAAAGTGTGATACCATTTTTATAGCCGCCTCTGTTGCAAATACATTTTTGAAGTTTTCAGAGACTTCATAGTCGTTACCAATTCCTACATTTGTAGAGCCCTTGTACGCGTCTATACATGTATGAATGTTCTAGAAGGTTAAAAGCGCGTTTTTTTTTAACAAATGATTAATAACGTGAGCATTTGAAAACGATATTACCAAAGATTTTTTTGACAACTACAAGAGGGTTTTCAATGCATTCGGTTACCGTGTACATTTTTTAGTTCTTTACGTGAACAAATACTGATGTTAGAAGATAAACTAAAATCTAGCATCCAAGTATATGTAATCTCTACGCGTTTAACTTGAAAGTATGTGACACATGAAGATCTCGAATTTATTAGTTATATGCTCTTCATTCCAGTGAAATAATGGACGACCAAAGACAAACACAACCGGCTACCTTCCTTGATTTATTAAATGCCGACGTCGACACCTCAATACTTCAGCTTCTTCCCGCCGAAGTGCAACTCGGGGCTGACTTGAATCTTAACCTTGATCCAACGTTAGCACCTACATTTGTTGAACCGACATCAACACAAGAAGTCTTTGAAGACTTTGAGGCTTTGGAATCGAGCTATGAGGAAGATTTTCTTATGAAGTACCTTTTGAAGATAACGATTAATGTGTACAAAAGTTGCTTAGAAAATGAGCTCTTAAGCGTTAATTTTTTTATTTTGTAATATAGCATCGACAATAAACTTGAAGTCGAAGACAACGACAACAACGACGAAGAAGAGATACCCGATGGATTCAAGTACGAAAAATTCTGGCAATTCATTATGTTATGTCAAATTGCAATTACTTGGAAATTTTTGAGGGAAGAATACTTATGTACATGTACATTCTAATTCTTATCATGTCCTTAAAAGCCAACTCTTGTCAAAAGCAAAAGAAGCAGGACGTGATCTTGCAAAAGGCGAACACGTCCCAAATCTTTGGGAAAATATAGATATGGAAGAAGAATGGAGTCAATTCAACGTAGAACTGAGGATTACGAGCGGGATCGGAAAACCTACCTATAAAAAAAAGGCATGTATTATCATCAGACTCATTTTTTTCGCTTCTAGATGTGTCAATATAATAGGGCTAGGCTAATTAGAAATATCATTTTAGAGAGGGCCAAGAAGAAAGAACATCCCACCCGAAATTCGCGCTTTGATGGGCGAAGCCAATCAACACTACATAAACAAAGAATTTAGTAGTGCGATCAATGTACTCCAAGAGGTTCTGAAAAAAGACCCGAATATTTATCGGGCATGGCATACACTTGGACTGATCCACGATGAAGTGGGCGAACCGGTGAAGGCATTGCAGTTGTATTTGGTGGCTGCTCACCTTACGCCTAAAAATGGGGAAGAGTGGAAAAGATTGGGATTCCTTAGCAAGTATATTTCCTCCTAATAATTCTACTATTATTATCGTTAGTAGTATCTATGGAAATTTATTCTTTTAATGAATTAAAAATACTGTTTTTTTGGTAGAAAGCAAAATGCTTTGGATCAAGCTATATATTGTTATTCGAAAGCTCTTAGAGTTGATCCTTCTGACGTGGACGCAATTTGGGATCGATCTGTTCTTCTGAATGAATCTGGACAATATAAAAAGGTTTATAATGATTAATTTATCAGATTAACTACTCTTGTCACATTTTATATCATCATATATAACGTTTAATTCAACTAGGCAATTGATGGATTTAACCATTTACTAAAAATAATTCCACACGACATGAACGTAATCAAACAATTGACCAGTATCTATACACGCAATAACGAACTCGAAAAAGCCATCTCACTATACGAAGACGCCCTCCAATACTACCAAACCAATAATTTCTTGTCATTAAACAATTCCGAGGACGCCGACGGGATTTTCAGTTTATCCGATGTAAATATTATGGCCGAACTGTACATCTCTATCGGCGAATATCAGAAAGCCATCGAGTGTATAAAGAGTGCGGTTAGGTGGCTGCAAGGACGAGAAAATGAGAAATGGTGGAACGACGTGGTGATCGATGATCATGAATATGACGAGGAAGATAGTAGGCGAAAAAATAATTTTTCAAAGAGTGGCTTGTACGTTGGTGGCTCAAAAGAGTTTTTACCGATGGAGTTGAGAGTAAAGTTGGGACAGTGTCGATTGATGTTGGATCAAATTGAAGAAGGAAAGGTAATAAAATTAATTATTATTTCATTTCATTCATTATACTGACATAGTTTTTTTTTATATTGGCAGTTTCATTTCAATTATTTATTTGAAAATTCCGTTAATCAATATTTGGACTTGTACTACGAAGTAGCAGAAACTTTTATCGATAAGTCTCTATTCAATGACGCGCTTAGTGTATATGAAATGATCATCGCTGACAAAACAGTAAGTAATTAGTTATTAGAATTACTATACCAATAATTTATTATCATTTAATAGTTTGATATTCAGAATTTTTGGGAATCTGATTGTTTCATTCCCCTTTACAACAACCGGAGAACTTTATTATTCTTATTGCTGTTGTAGGTTGATAGTTCGATCACATGGTCACAGATGGGATTGTGTCATCGAGAATTAGGAAATTTGGATATTGCCGCAGATTTATATAATATTGGTAGGTTTTTTTTTTGTTTTTTCGTGCAATAATCATTTGATTTTTTTATAAATTGTGAAATAATTAATGGATTTTGTCCAATTGATCGTTCATTAGCGATTAAGAAAAATCCAGGAAATTTAGAAATAACGATCGCTCTTGCTGAAATCTATGAAGAAATGGGTGAAAACAAAAAAGCATTAGAAATAGTGAATCAAGGCACACCAATCAATTCTATATTGTCTGTTTGAATCATATTAGCAATTCTTTTCTCAAACAATATTCTAACATTCCTAACTCATATAGTTTTAGCAGCTCGAAATACCCATCGTCCTTCGACAACCGAACCATCTTTAAATACCTACGGAATTAATAATATTACGGACCAAGCAGAAATACAACAAACTCAAGACTACACATTATCACAACAGGCCGACACCAACAAGGTCTCCATAATAAAAAAAAGACAAGAAGCAAAATCAATCGCATATGCTAAAGCACAGGAAGCACGACAAGCCAAAGAAGCTGAAAAGCAAGCAGAGATATTAATGCTTTTTCATAAGTTAGATCTCTTGAGTGCACGTTCTGCGTTGGGCGATCAAGAGGCACTCGATGAGTACTTTATGACTGCACGACTCATCATGCGAGAATGGAAAAATACAAAAGCATTCTACCCTAAGGATCGGGTTAGTATTATTATTAATGATCTTTATATGTTTAAATTTTTAAATATAATTAAATCTTTTTTACGCGTGTATTTTTTTAAATCAGATGAAACGATTTACTGGGATGCCGCATCGGCGCGGAGCTCGCCGAAAAAATGTTTTTGGTACAGCTGATGAAGCTGTCGATGCTGATATTGAAGAAACCGCAAAAAATATGGCAAAGAGGTTGAAACGACAAATTGGTATTATTAATAGAAAATACTCAGCTTCGTTGTATAATGCATCATATATATAATTATATATTTGTTTATGATATAAATTAAATAGCTGGATTTGCAGACGATGATGGCGCTCCAGGATTCGATATTAATCGCACCCAATTTCTCGGCAAATCTTTTCAAGATTGGTTCGAGTTCTTTATAAAGGTTTATTTCTTAACAAATAACATTAATAAATTGGTGAGAGTTTTAATAACACAATGATAATCATGGTGATTATTTTTTATCTATGAATAATAATAGTATGCGATCACCGCTGTGACTAATGGTAATGAAAAAGAAGCGTACGAGGTTCTCAAAGCTGCTTGTGCGGCTAACGTATTTTATCATAATGAAGATCGAAGATTCGTGTTAAAAATGCTATTGATGGGTAAGACTTGAATTTTTTATTATTTATTTTAAAATAACAATGTTTTCAACTAATTTATCATTTTTTATTATTTATTTAAAAATAACAATGTTTTCAACTAATTTATCATTTTTGATTACTCGAAAGCTTGTGGTCTTTACAGTGATAATTATGAAATCGTGTGTGAATGTGCCAGATGGCTTTGTACGAACACTCAATTCCGTAGTAACGTTTATCAAATTTATTGCGCGTCCATGACGAGGTATAAAACATACATATTTGATTATTGTTTTAAATTTGCCATAATTCATTTGATAAGAATTCTTTATTGACAGCGGAACAAAAGCAGTAGAGAACTTTGCTTCTGCTAATTCCCAAAAATACTTTATACGGCAAATTAAAGCTATGCATTATGCTATTGAAGGAAAGAAAAACAATAATAACACAGGTATCAACTCTGTTTCCGTGCCGCAAAACCAGGAAACATCAGAACATCAGAAACAACCACCAAATAATAATATCACATTTCAGCCTACGAAACGGAATGCCGCTTTACTTGTATTATATGGACATATTTTAGCATGCGCGAGAAGCTATGTCTTTGCAATTGGTACATGTTTTTTTTTTATTTTTGGTTGTACGATATTTTTTACGCATTAAGTTTGTTCTCTCTATTTTTTAGGATATTATTTACAGGCGCATTCACTTGTTCCCGATGACCCATTAATCAATCTCTGTTTAGGAATCGCGTATCTTCATATGTCAATGCAACGGCAATCTGATAATCGTCATCTTCAAATTATTCAGGTTGATAATTTTGGTTTCTTTCCTTTTTAAAACCATTTAAAAGTAGGAAACAGTTTTTAACTTGTGCTTTTTTTATCAGGGATTTACGTTCCTATTAAAGTACTATGATTTGCAAACAGGTAAACAAGAAGCAGAATATAACCTCGGGAGAGCTTTTCATCATTTAGGTGAAGCTATTTTTTTAAATAGATGAATATGAAATATTCTTGGTTTTTAATAGATATTTATCATATAAATAGGGCTCTTTCATCTCGCAGTGCAATGCTACGAACGAGTACTTAAATTGCCCTCATTACGGAAACAATTAATGCAAGAAGAAAATCAGGTATAAATTGCCTTTATCTAGTCTCTGTTATCAACTCTAATTTTTTACGATTAATTGAATACCCCAAATTATAAACATAACAATATATGCATTTTTTTTAGTGTGAGCCCGAAATAGAAGTTGGCAACAATAACAATGATGACGACGACTCGACAGATCTTAAAAGAGAGGCAGCTTACAATCTATCTCTGATCTATGTGCAAAGTGGATCGCCAGGATTAGCACAATTAGTATTGAGTAAATACTGTACTATTTAGTAGTTTGATTTATCTTCAATAATAATTGTAGGGGATCATGATGAAAAACAGATTATGGAAAATTTGCAATATCTATTATAATAAACCATAAATAACAATTATATTCATAAATTTACATAGTATTTAGCAATATAATATTATTGCAAAATTAATTTGTTATATATTTTATGCATTTATCATTATTTTCAAAATATTATAAGAAATATCGATAATTCTGGCCAAATAATCCCATGATCTGCACAATTTTGGCCAAAATTTTCACCACAATCCGTTTTTCATCATGATTCTTTACAATAATTACTATATGCACCAAAAGAAAATATCAAGAAAATTATAAATTAAATTCTTAATTCTGCCATGTATTGTTATTAAATATTTAAAAAAAATGCTTGTTAAAAAATAACAAGTAGTTATATTAAATTTTCTTATTAAAAAATAAAAATTCTCTTGAAAATTTGACAATATCTTATTTGAATATCAATTATGTTTTCTTCTACTTGTTCTAAATGAAAGAGATAAATATTTCAGTTGATAAAGAATTTTTATTAGTAAAAATTCTTTAATTATTAAATAATTATTACCATTTTCAAAGTCATTATTTATGATGATATTTCTGAAATATAACAAGTAATTATATTCACATGAAAGGTCAAACTACTGAACTATCAAAACTTATAATTTAAATATCAAATAATAAAATAATGGTGTTGAACATAACTTTAACAAGAAATTAATGAAATTAAAATAAATAATTATCAAAATTTTTCTAAAATATTAGTAATAATGATATATATAAATATAAATATAATAAATATTAAAGCTTTTCTGAAGTATCAATCAATAATAACTATATAAAAATGCAAAATATAAATATTGTTTTTTTTAGATTAGCAACACAAAAATAAAAAATAATATAATATTTTCCTGGTATTTCTCAAATCTCAAAAATAATAATAATGCAAATAATAAATAATGTAAATAATAAATATGAATAATAATTTTTTGTTAAAATAATATTATTGTGATTAGATATTTTTCATAATTACAAATGATCATTTCACATAATCATTTCACATGATCACTTTGAATGATCATTTCAAATGATCATTCCAACTGATCATCTCAAGTGCTCTGAATGATTATTGTAAATTATTATTCCAAATAATCATCTCAAACACTTTGAATGATCATTGCAAATAATTATTAAAAATGATCATTTCAAATGCTCTGAATAATCATTTCAAATAATTATTTTATAATTATTAAATACTTATAAATACAGCTTGTATTTTAGCTTAGAAAATTAATTCAACTCAAGTTTTAGTTTTTATTCTTTTAATAATTCTTTAAATAGTCTTTTCATAACCTTTTGTCTTAATTGCAAAATTATTTTTGTATTTGTTTTATAATCTCTCGTCTCTATTACAAAGTTATATTATCCTATACATTCTTGTATTTGACCTCTCATCTATATTATAAAGTTAATAATAGTATTGAATTAATAAAAGAAAATTATATCTTACTTGTTTATAAATCAACTTAAAGAAACATTTAACTTATTATAAATTGAATTAGAAAAGACACAATTACCTTTGAATCTTTTTGATCTCATTCTAGCTGATCAACAAAACGAATTTATGTTACCTATCTTTAGATAACTTAGTAAACTTTCCTAACTTAAAGTTATTTAATACAGCAACTCTTTCACCTAACTCTATCACATGTACTCTCATGACAGAATTTAAAGTCATATTAAAATGGTAACAAAATTTTGGTGTCTTCTCTGTGGAAAGAAAAGTTTTAAAAATATCAAATATAATAAATCAATTAATAAATGAATCCTGTGTGGATGAATCACTCAAACAATCAAACTGAATTCAACATAAGTAACTGATATAGAAATTGATTAATTATTTGAAGAATTAAAAGATGAAACAAATTTACCAGAAAATCTAAACAAATAACAACTGAGAGAAATTAAAATTTGACTAGCAGAAGTATTTGCTATAACACATCTAGAAAATTCAATCAGTAAACCAATTGAACAACTTGAAGAACTATTACTACATTATTCATTACAAAAAGAACAAGAAATTCAAACATACTTATACCATTTACAACAAGATATCCAAATCTTCACAATATAACGAAAGCAATATTGTTAACAACAAAGACTTCAAATACAAATAATTGAACTCCAAAATTTAGAAAACCAAATTGTAATTCAGAATGATTCACCTCAAATAATTCAAATAATAAAAGAAGATAGTAAAGAAGAACAATCAGAATTAATCATAATTCAACCAAATAATGAATAGATTAGTTAACCTTATAAATGTTATTCAAGCTCAAACTGCTGTTCCTGCTTCACCAACAAGAGAAACATTATTTATAAAAATTGTTAATTTCTATGGAGATACACAAGATTCCATCAGATAGTTACAAGATTTTGAAACTGCATATCAAGCTAACAATGTGACTGATGTGAAAAAATAACAAATTGTTAATGCATATTTAAAAGATGTCGCTGGAATATGGCTCACCAATAAAAGATCAATTACATTAAATTGACCAATCCAATAGAATCTAAATATTCCAAATGATATAAATGATCAAACTGCTTCATTTACTTTTCAATTCACACAACAATTTAGAACTGTTGATAAAATGTACAAATGGTAATAATAATTAAAACAATTATTTACTGAAAGCATTGAACAATATTCTGCTGCTGTTCAAGAATTACTTTGATGAATTAATTCAGATAATACTTATTCAGAACATCTAAAAGTAATATTATTTGTTAATGAATTAAAATCAGAAATCAAATTCTTTGTTAATTCCACTAGATCAGCTACTTTAGATACTGTAATTCACACTGCTCAACTATATGAATCTAGTTATCAACAATTCACTGGACCAATTATTAATTCAACTATCTTCCTTTTAAATATTTCAACCATGTTGCAATAACTAAATAATCTTAATCAAGTCTCACAACAATTAGCTGCTCTTACTAGTCAATTGAAGACTTTATTAATTAACAATAATAATAATTGACAAAATAATATATCCAATAAAAGAGTATTTAATTAATCATGAAATAATATTTAATCATCAACTTGTTATAATTATGAAAAACTTGAACTAAGAATGCTTGCCTAAATCCTTTCAGAAAAATATCGTCATAATTTCGACGGATTACATACTAATTGTTAATTAGAATTTCAACATAATTTTGGTTACGACGAGTTTCAAAATTCGTCAGAATTTCGACGGGTTATTTACTAATAGTTTATTATAATTTCGAAAGAATTTAGACAATCACTAAGGGATTTCAGCAAGCAACCTTAACTTGAACATATGATTATTCACTATCAAAGCAAGTGTAATAATAACAATAATAATAATAGATCTAATTAGAATTCTGAAAAAAAGTCTGGTTCAGTTAGAGTCTGATTCAGTTTGAACTTGAACCAGACTCGAACCTAACTAAAAGTCCAGTTCAAAAATTTGAATCTAATTAAAAATCTAGTTCGAGTTCAGTTTAAATTTTGAACCAGACTCAAACTTGACAAAAAGTTCAGTTCAAGTTCAAGTAAATGTTTGTTGATATTCTAAGTAAAGTTGTAGACTGTAATATGAACTACAAATTGATATAAGATAGTTAATATTTAGGATGAATATTTAAAAAGTTATATGAATTTAAAAAATAATTTTCATTATTATAATTTTAATTTGCTTTAGTATAATAAATATTTATTTTGCTATAGTAATCATAAACTATAATTATAAGTAAAGTTATAGTCAAAAATAAGAGCTACAAATTGATATAAGATAGTTATTATTAATAATAATTATTCGAAGAGTTATATAGTATTTACAATCAAATTTAATAAACATAAAAATAAAAATACTTTAGTCATCACTATGTAAACTTCTAATTTTTACTAAATATCATAAATTGTGCTTATAAGTAAAAATATTAAAGTTGTAACTTATATTTAGAGCTACACATTAATATATAATACTATATATCAATCTTTAATCAAACTCGAACCAGACTTGAACTCGTATAACAATTTAGTTTGAATTCAGTTTGAACTTCGAATCTTTTTTGAACTCAAGTTAAAGTCCAGTTCAAGTTTGATTCGAATTTTGAACTAAACTCAAATCCAAGCAAAAGTTCAATTCAATTCAGTTTATAGGAACACTAGATCTAATCAATATCATAATAATAATAATAATAATAATTACAAAAAAAAACTTTTTTTGTATCTCTTCCCTGTCGATCTCTCAACTGGGCAGAGTTACACTTTACCAAGTGCAAAAATTCTTCTTAATACAATAAAGTCATTATATAATACACAGATTCTACTAACAGACAATCTTTACTCATCTTATATCTTTCTTTTTTATTATTTCTTAATATTGTTATAACTTTACAATTCTTTTTTTTTCTTCTCTTCTTCTCTTTTTCTCTTTTCTTCAAAATTCTACAAAAAACAAAAATAACAAAAAATCTCAAAAAACACACAAAAATATACACATTTATAATATTCCTCTCTAATACTTCATCGTCATGTCTACTAACAACACCAAAAACAAAAAAACTGCTAATTCTTCTTCTTCACTTATATACATCACTATACAAAATTTTTTAGGTCTATTTTCCTCATCTTCAAATAATACTGACAAGCAAACCCCTATTAACACATCAGATAATTCATCTGATTTCCAATCTTCTCAGCAAACAATTCACAATACACAATCACAAGCTAATCGTATCAAAAAAGCAAAAATTGATCACATCGATAAAATAGAATCAGTTAACACAAAACAAACAAATAATATGCTTTAAGCAGACAATACACATACAGCCTCATCTCAATCAGCTAACTTTGAAACAAATCCTTCCTCATCTACTAACACATATTGTAACCGTTTCTAGTTCTTACGTATGAGAATATTTAGAAATAGTTAACAGTGACTGTGTTCAA